CTCTATCGGTCTCGGCGTATGCATATGAGCCGACGATCTTCGTAATGTGGGCGCTGTTAATACAGAAGCGAAAGTGCTTGAACTCGACGCCATAGACTTCAGCACCTGCCATACCAATCATCCTTTTCATGATGTTTTCAATGGTGTTGCCTAGTAATTTTTGGGTCTTCCTCGTTTTCAAATTTATGAAGAAGCCAAAATTGCACTTTGTAATCGCTTCGGGGACGAGGACGAAAATGACAACGTCTGCGTTCTACGGCAAATGATTTTGCCACAAAAAAGATAAGCTTTCTTCAGTTCTACACTAAGACACCAACTGAGTAGACTAGACATTTCCACATTGAATGCGCAACTTTGCGGAGGATCCGTTTCGTCGTGCCTTTTGTGACAATCATTTTAGCCTAACGAGAAACTTCAAAACGTAAGAAAACGCTCACAGTAATTGGAATCTTTGCTTTATTTTTTACAACAGAGTTCTTTCGTACATACACCATTTTCTTCTTTCACAATATAGGTTGCTGGTCTCGAATTACCAGATTAGGTTCTATTCTAGCAAATTTCGCAAAGAACACTTGAGAAATAAATAATTGCACCAGTTATAGTTTATTCACAGCACCATCACATGTACCATATAAATCGGCTTAACTGGGGCTTCTACACAAAAACACATCTGGAAAGATAGGAAACAAAAGGAATCAAAAGGAAAGATACAAGGAGCAGTATTATGAAGGATGGCGTAAACTCGGAGTTAAATGGATCTTAATTGAACACGAAGATGCTTGGATGGTCCGTCTTCACAGGTATCGCAACACCAACAACTTTTCTATCCCTAGTTTTCCCACGCAATCATCGTCTGTAGTGGTGGTGTTCTTCGAAAATGGTGCCGTCAGTGGGGAAAGTGAGCCATGATCGCTTCCATCCGCGAATGCTGATGTTTGACGTGAGTCAGAACACGTCAACTTGTCATGTAGATGATCGTTCGAGTGTACTGTTTTCTTTTTGAAAGATAACAAAGGCTTTTTCCAGCTTATGACTGGGTAAAAGTCATCACGGAGAAAGCATTGATTGGATCATTTACAGAATAATAGCACTATTAATCTGACTAGCAAGCACTATTGTATCAATGTGCGGATGTCCTGGTGAATCGTAGCAACATTTCCGTCAGCGGTATTCTTCTTTCTGGAAAAATGAACATTTATGAAAAAAAAAGCGTGCTGTAGATATTGCAAGAAGAGTTCCATTCTCGTTTCCAACTCCACTCTCAAATTTCCTTTTCGTATTCATTTTTGCTGGCGCTCCAAATTCCGGTGTTGAAGTCTACGATAGCAGCTTTTTTAAAGAGACGAGTTTTAGTTGCGGATTACTTCCGCTATCCAATTATAGAATCCATCTGATTCGCTTCTGTCACTGTCACCGATTATTTGGTTGAAGATTTTGGCAGTGATTCTCTCACGGTGACTAAGTTGAAGCCTTGGCTTTGGGCTCTTCGTCTAGCCATGCTTGACCATGAAAAGACGTAGTCGAGTATATTGCAACAAGATATTGTGAACGATTAATTTAGAACAGTAGTCCAAGTATCCAAGCAAGAATGTCTAAAAGCTGTGCAGTGAGGGTGGACTTACAAGGTGTATGATAATACATAATTTCAGCTATGATGATGCCGAAAGATTCTCCAGAGACTGACATCATCTGGAGGTGGAAAATAAGTGTCCTCTTGCTTACGTGTTTGTGCAGCAGAGCGTGAGCGATGAGTGACCAAATAGATTAGCTGCTGTGTGAGTAAAAAAGAAGAAAAAAACACATTTCGTTAATGTTTACGGATGAAATCAGTAAACACTGTGCTCGTGCAATCTGAAGACAGAAGTCGGATACTCTTTTTCAATGAAGAAAAGGTTCACCGCACAGGAAAGAAACAGGAATTTAATCTACACAAATGTATGCGGTCCAAACGGTGGTGACCGATGGATTTGCAAATTTATGTCCATTTATTTTCTTTAGTAACTCAATTTCCGGAAAATGTAAAGCTAAACATACAAGGAAACGAGGAACACATAGGAAAATCCAAAAATGAACTACTGGGCTCATATAGTTTATGTTACAATATGATTTTATGACTGGCACCTATCGCTTCAAAGTACGACAAGTCATCTTCCTAACATTCACTTTCAACTATATACCACTTTGCATTAGAATTTTGGGTCGGTTTTGCAGCTACCACTATACTAATCATTATTACTTTCATGTTATAGATAATTAATCGCCGTATGCTATCCGTCTTTGTCAAACGCGTGCGAGGCGCGCCTAGGGCGCGCGTGGCCAATGGTTGGAGGCGCCACTGTGACACACACGTGGAATTGGTTCCCGCACCCATCACCCACCAAGCCTTCCATCCCACCGGGGTCGGCAAACTGGTACCAGACTTGTCTGGCAGGATAGCATCACTGGCTCGATACATGGGTAGGCCACCACGAGTCGTTGTAAAGGCCGGCTATGCATTCAATCACTACCAAAACGGTACTTAATGAAGTCGAATGCATGGCGCATCGCTCAGGAATTGATCAATGCCGAGTGCTTTATACTTTTATCCTTTATGCTATCCGTCATTTAAAAGTCAGTAAATGGTTGTTGAAATTGTCACAGGCAGCTGAGCATTCATAATAGTCGAAGTAAATTTTTAATGAATCCTTTGAGCGACTGTCAATGGAGTATAACAAAGTTTACTGTTAACTGAGGTGACGACATAATTTATCACTTTCGTGAACACGGACACCAAGAATTACTTACAAATAGCTTGCTTTTTCAAGACACGCTGAATTTTTGGGCGAACAGATCCCGTTCAATGTCATGACAATGAATCACAATCTCAGTGTTTACAATTTTTACGTGGTTCGAGAGAAAATGCTCCATTCCCTTCCAACCCTCCTCCTGGGACCGAATCGCCTCTCGCACTTAGACGTATTGACTTGTTATGTCGAAGAACAAACGTCGTTGCGAAATCCTCATTATTCACAGCTTGGCCTAGTATTTCGGTGTCACTGGCTAATTTTATCAAAACTCTTTTATCAGATAAATAGATAGATAGATATTCGCTACACAATAAATGATTCTCAGTGTCTATATCTTCAAACTTCTACACATTATTCAAAGCCTACAGCAGGCAAAAAAGTAAACAAAGACGCAAACCATTTTCGCTAGATAAGATCGAGCTTGTTTCTTAAAATAGCAGTGCCCTGAAGCTTGGCGACGGAAAAAATATCAGCTGTAAAGACCTTTACTATTTTTTGATTGTTATAGAGTTCTTCTTTTGGAAAATCTAATGTGTTTGGAGGCAGGAGAGGTGCTCAGCCGACTTGTTGGTCAGTACAGTGGTTCGTAGTAAAACTGGCAGGACTACGACGGTGCCTTCAGCGAAAAATGTGTTGTGGACACTGTCGTGAATCAGAATTCTGCTATTCCTTTGACCAAAATTTAGCGTTCTCGTTAGAGGATACGGCTCATTTTGCTAAGTTTCCGATAGTACTTTTAACCCAAATGAATTTATTGGGATTCAAAAGGTTGCTGTCGATTGTTGAGGACCGAAAAGTAGAAAACACGGCACTTATTCCACCCTTCCATGGCTTTGGGAAGTGTTATGATGCAGTGGCCACCAGCGAGCCACATTTTCAGCTGCTTATCTTACACTGTTCACCTCTCATCGCGTTGAACAATTTGATTAAGATTAGGAATTATACTGTTGAGTAGGAGGAGCATACAACAAGTGTATACCGTAAATTTGTCTGGTTTCAGTTCTATTTCGATGGAAGTGGAAGATACTTTACCATTTGCCTTGACTTGCTAAACTTTTATGGTCGACCTGAGACAGGTGTTATGCTTCAGACACGATTGCCAAAGCCTTTTGACATTCTACTGATAAACAGGATTGATGTTCCTAACGAACTTTGGAAACAAACATTGTACTGTGTCATAAGAAGTTTTTCAGCGGTGTAAAAGAAGTTGTTTATTATGCGAATGGAAATTTATATGTTAAGGCTCATCAGCTAAGGTTATGAAACCGTTTGGCTAATCGCATGTCAGTTTGGCCTTTCCAGGCTCTGAATAAGCCGAAACCATCGAAACATCAGCCATTGCGTGCTAATAAATTCTATCTTATCAATCCCGTGTTTGCTTATCGAAGAAAAACACTGAATTATCAATCATTGTCGAGGTTAAGAGAAAGCCGGCATTGGGAATTACTTCTTCATATGTCATATAATACATACCGTATAATAATAGAAAATCGTTGAAGAATAGCTGATTCTTAATATTCAGCATGATATGGAGTGAAAGCGTGGTAGATAGCATTTCTCCTTGGGTTCTTCAAGAAGGTTAGAAAACGTAAGATTGCCTTTGTATTTCCCAAGAACCCTGAACATTTTTGCTTCGAATTGGAGAACGCCACGAAGCTACTGAAGCTGTAAAGAATTGTTAGCGGACTCACTCGATGATCAAGGTCAGGTGAATGGTAGAGGTCGGTCAGGTGAATGGTAGAGGCAATTTTCCCAAACAAAACGTTAGAAATTATAAGATAATGAAGGTGAAGTATTCGGAATCATTGCAAATTCTAGAACTATTCTCTTTTCGCTGGTGTAGAACTTCTTCTTAGCATTTCTTTCTGCTCATTTTCTAAGATTTATTCCTCTGAAGTATGTTCGCAAAATTCCCATTGTGTAAAAAATTTATTTCTTCATCCAGTCATCCATCCATCCAGTTATCGCCTATAAGTAAGCATTTTTCTCAATCTTTCAAGGTATATCCCTGCAGGAAGAGTTACACTACATAGAGCTTTTATAAATTTATATTGTAAGCCAAGAATTGTGAAAAGTTCCTCTCCACTAGAGAGCTTTTTATGCAGTTCGTTTTTCACAGGAATACGGTAGCTATCGCTATATTCTCTTAATTCAGAGTAGAATTGCCCTTAACTTCATCGATTTAACCTGCGTAGTAGTAGACCTGTTCGGAATATGTTGTTTTATTCGATATCATCACTAGGCTTGTCTGATGGGTGGGCGCAACGAAGCCTGCGAGTTGGGGAGGGAGAGAGGGTTGGACATTCTCCTACCACAATTCGAAAAGCGGCCATGCTTGTTCGTTCTATCGTTTTAACTCTCTTCATCTCTTTTCTTGTCATCGATGCTGCTGTTCCCAGGTGTGTATTTTTTCTGTACTTTTGAAACTAGTCTCACGAAGTTAGTGTAAAAAAAAGCGGTTATGGTCATTTTATAGACAACAGTGAATGCACAGGCATTTTTCAAGAACCGTTGTTAACATGAGTAGAAATGCGGCAGCATATTGACTTATTTATACTAAGTGAAATGATAGGTGGTGAAGTATTACATTTGTAGACAAGAAAAATTGTGCTGACATCTCAGTAGTTACATTAATATGTTCGAAATAAGCCGAACACGTTGTGGCCGTTCGTATGAGGTATGACTACTTTCAATTAAAGGGAAGTAGCGTTCCTAAAACATCCCCTCTTCATTGTTCTTTCTAAGTCAGCAACTCCGAGTCAAAGACCTATTCTTACCACGAAGCCAGTAACGGCATTCCATCGGTATGTACGCAGTCATTTCTCTGAAATTTTGCTTCCAAAAGAAAATCCCGTCAACAAAATAGAATTGTAGGCAAATGCGTCGCCCAAAGTTTGATTTATGGTTGTCAAGCGTTGTACGCATTTTACTCCCTCTACGAGTCCTTAGAGGTTAACGCGCCAAATATTACGAGTCTCCAAGTGAAATATGGGATCGTGCAATGGCCACCTTCTCTAACCGGCTTCATGTACCGATGACGTTCGATCTTTACCTTTATAACAGCGTTTACTCATTGAGTTTAGAGTATTGCTGAGACAAAACGGTTGTTCGTGCTTCAAAAGGACGCAGAGGTTTACTAAAATTCGGAGAACGACTTGGCTTCCAGTTTTGTGGCCTTTCATTAAGTTTTAACAATTTTGACGTATACGGAATCTCAACATTGGTGAAGCTTACATTGGATTTGTCTGAAGTAGAAAGCATTCATCGACTGCATATCGATGTCCCTCTCATGAATTACTTATTGCGACCAGGTTTTTTTAAGCCTTAAAATTAGCTATTTCACGTGCTAATTACCACCGACAACGTTGTTTTTTCATTGCTTATCACCACCTTACTAAGATTTGTTATGAGTCAAGGCTCACAGTAAGCTATTTGATATCCGATTTTTAAATTTAAAAAGTTTAAGTCTAAGGCTAGAAAGAATAATGTTACAGGTTGCGACCTGCCAAGAAAGCGATGAGGAACTCACTGGTACGCTTTGGAAAGCGAGCTGATTTGTCTGACACAGTATTCTTAGGTCAGATATGCACCAACCACTTCGATGAATTGTCCTCCGGATACCATATTTTGCTACAGTGCTTTCTTTCACTATCTACTAACTTATTTAATTTTTACAGAATGATTTCATTATGATTCCGTATAACTAAGTGTTGTTTCAAAATTTTCATTTTCTAGGAGAATCGTTTGGACCCGTTGACACAGATGGGCTCTATTTTGAGCGAACACAACCGCAGAATTACGCTCAATTCCCGTACTACTAACATTCCATCACAGAAAACCACTTCTCCAATAAAATCAACAGCATCGTACTAAAATTAAAAGACTGCGAAATTTATCAAATAGAACCGCAACAATCGAGGCACACTTGTGTTAACGGCTCGATCCAATAAAGCGTTGTTTGTCGCCGATGTGTTTAGCTTTTCTACTAGAATAAATCCGTATCAACAACAAAACGATTAGGAAAAATGTAAAGTTTCTAATAAAGAGCTGTTAACAGCTTTAAAAAAGCAGGCACTCATTGTCTTTAAGTACTAATTATCGTTGCTCGTGCAACCGAATGCTATGTCATGTTTATTACGTGGTAATAATTTATAGCCACAATCCTTCTTCATTCAACGAAGAAACAACAAGTGTTCGAAGGGGCAATATTTTCAGAAATTTTCAAACGAGTTGTGGAAAAATATTCCATCCAGGAGATGTTGTTTCTTCTAAAATTTTCCACTATACTGCGCAGAGAAGGCGCTCTTACGTCCTGAACCACTAAACGCATCGAAGGAGTAGACCACTGCGAAAGGCAGCCAATCTAAGGGGCTCGTCGATTTCTTCCTCATGCTTGCTTGGAAGTAAATGAACATTAGAAAGTGTCATTGTCTTGGTATAACGTAGTCACAAGGCGGCGAACTTCCTTGCGATTTGCAACTCCGACTACTGGATTCAAAACAAGAATGAATGATGCACAAAAGTGCTAGTTGTATTACTAATTAGGCTCCACCATTTACAACTTGTTTTACCCATTATTTTTTCAAAACCAGGATATTATGTGGAACACAACCACGACGAGTTTAAGATATTTGCAAACGTCAGACCTCACGTCAGATTCGAACCCACGACCCTTTTCCGGAGACTCGCCTGTTGCCAAATGCATCGCTGAAGGTCTTCCTTTTCCCTTCTCTTAGCCAGTTCTTACCTTAGCGGTGTCATCAGCAGCCATCTGTCTGGTTAAGAGAAATGCAAAACAAGGTCTTCAGTGGTGCACCAGAAAGGGTAACCGCGGATTATAATCTGGCCTGGGATCCGAGTTTTGCAAATATCTCAGCATCTTTGTGGTTGAAATTAGGCTCCATTGGTCCTTATAGTGAAGCCTTTTTTTAAAGAACGTTTAAATTACTTCAATGCCTAGTGCTTATTATTCTGTAACAACAATCTCTGCGAAAAACAGATTGCTTGCATTCTCTTCTGCTTCTAAAACTGATCTTTTTTCTATTTAATGCACATGTTAAGGGTATTACTTTACACTAACCAGCAACACATGTTTTGTCGATACCAGTGCTTCATGCGTTCGATTCACTTGTTTGCATCCCTCTTCCACGAAGGTCTTCGCTTTTTTCATGTGAGCTCGGCAGCTGATTGTGGATTTTAGGTAATCTCATGAATGTTGGTCAAGCAGATTCTCTCTGAGATCTTTGGATAACCGCTTCAGGACCTAACGAGGCCTTCACAACAGGCTGTTGCCAGGTCTTCCGAGACCAGAACGAGTGCATGGGACATATTCGAAACCTTTTCTAAGAGCGTCTGATATATACACTAAACTACTGAGAGATAGGAGAGATGGATGGTCCAAAACCGGTAGAAAAAGCTTTTTCCACGCATTGAACTCCATTACTGCCACTGCGCGCCAAGAACACCATGCAACTCACAATTAGGTGAGAAAAAATAAAAATAGAAAGCAAGTGAAAATAAATCACTCACCAAGTCGCCATGTTTTCATATGACAACACTAGCATAGTAGATTTTTTTCCGCAGATCACTCGGTAACATTTTCTCCTTTTTATGTATTATCACGTAAGAAGACTAAAAATCGCTAGTCTTTGGTGAACTTAAAGTTCCAGTGTTAGTCCGACTATATTAAACTCACAACCCATGATTATGATCCAATTAGTTGAGTGTCACAACGCTGCGTCACTCAATTATAGCTAGCATTATGCTGATCGCCACACGTTTTTTTCCTTATAAACACATAAGAGCCCGGGAAGCGCAGTGGTTAAAGGTGATGGGAGTAATTCACGTATGGTCGACAGTTCGACCCACACACCTGACAAAAAAACCTTCTATTCTTTCGAAGGTGGAAAATTAGTACCAAAGTTGTCTGCAAAAAGAAACAACTCATCCACAGAGGCTGACGACTGCTTGTGTGAAAAACTGGGAGAGCTCCTAAGGAGCTATCACAGGTTTCAAAAGAGTGTTAACTAGAGCATCTTTTGACAACACTCATGAAAAGGAGGAAGTCTCGATCGACATCCGGGCTCAGTGATCTTAGTAGACAGTTGCGAGGACACAAAGAAAATAAAAAAAGTGCTATAGTCCACAAATTGTGTAAAGTCGAGCCATGTACCTCAATAGAACAAAAAATGTAGTCATATCAATCATATCATAAAGCCGGCATAATGCTGTAGTGTTGCATCATTCGGGGTTCCCGTGCTACGTATTATGAAATGTCCAAAGAAAACGAGTATATAGTTCATTGAAAGCAGTTCTTACCATTCGATGACTAACTAGCGAAAAGATGGCTTAGGTGACGGATAAAATGAGAACTCATTACAAGATAGATATCTCCAATTATTAGTAAATTCGCTGTAAGTCCAACAACTTTGATAACCATAATATAGCGAAGGACCCGCATGGTGTGGTGGTGAGCGCGTTACTACCGGAAAGGACAATAGCGCATTCGTTCCCCACCGCATACACCTGCGGTCCGGAGTTTTGCAAATATCAGCATCATTAAAAGTTACATTTCGCAATAGTGTTTTGTTCAGAATTACTTCAGTGGTTTCCTGTTTCACCATAGTAAGCTAGCGTTAAGCATTCATAGATGTCGAACTGAAGGTACACCTGAGATACTCGCCAGAAGCCAGCCAGGTAAGCCTATGAAAGGATTTGTAATTTTGGAGCGAAAAAGAAATAACGACATGGACGAAACATGCACAAAGGTCGGTAAATGAGGCTAAACCAGCAATTTATGAGTTTAATGGGAAATGAGTATGAGGTCAACACGCTTGTTCACAAAGGCAGCTTGAAGCACACTATGGTAGGCCATAGATCCTCCAAACTGCGTAACGAGAGAAATATTCCAATGAAATAATATGACGAATTTTAGGCCCATTTCGTAAATAGGATATTAGGCGGCTCGGAAATTAATGCTGAATTTGTAATTTTATTTTACACACATTTTTGAAGTACTTTTCGTTCTGTACTTTTCGCTTTTGTACAATTTTTGTTTTTCTGCGCTCATACACAACACTGCAAAGCTTTTTTTTTTACACTACCATTGGGTGTAATTGAATTATAACAACATCTTACTTTTGACAATTCTTAAAGGAAAGAATTTCAGATGTCAACTAACAGTATAAACCTCGTGGTAAGCTCAACAATATAAACACATGTTGATTATAGCAGTGTAGTGCTTTTTTCGACAGTTAAAAGTTATGTGCTCATTCGGCCTTGAATATGCACAGAAATCCATCTGCTTTTGAAGAAGGTGAATTGATGGTTTTGAGGGAGTCAAGTACACGCTCAACTGTTCGAAAAATTTCAGAACTTGGCATAAGCATCTCAACTGTTTCGTAACGCCTATAAAAAGGTGTCGAGAAACCTCGGAAAAGTGGACACTGCAAAAATTGAAAGACCATCGAGGAAATCGCTTTTTTAAGGTTTCGTCGTCGCTTCTGCGCCACCGAAACAACACATTTTTCTCAACCGTATTTTGTATAGGCGACAAAAAGAGGGTCCTCTGTGTCAACAAGCGGCAATAGGCCGACTAGACAAAGGTGAAACCTTGTAGTAGTTTCCAAGGTCGAAATTACACCACCAAAAGAAGGTCATCGTTTCCTTTTGACGATATGCGGATCATTTGATCCATCACATCATCCATCTACATGTTTGATCTATCTTCTTCAATCGAATTAAATGATCACGGCGACTAAGTACCATCTGAAAATCGGCCAAATGCCTCAAAAATTTGTTCTCCTTTTCGGTCAACAGCAAGGACTTCCTCAGGAAAGGCAACGCAACGCTAAATGCACTGCTGACGCTGCAAGACTTGGTCTAGCTGAGCTACGAAAATGTTGTATGGGTGGACTTACTCTTCGTTGACTAAAAAATTTTAGTTCTCAATTGTTTTCATTCCCTTTATTAAAGTTTATTTTGAGCTTATATGTGCCACTTGGAAAGAGTAGGTAAAAATGCTGCTAAAAAAGTTGAAACTTGATATAAATTTTCAGAGCAACTAATTAAGAATATAAGAACCCAGGTCATGCATTCCAACTCAATTTCAGTAAACTCAAAGAAAGAAGCAATATTTGCTCTATCTCGAAAGAAGAAGTAGGGTGCATTGACTCAACATTTCCAGGAACCACAATGTTAACTTTTTATTTGCTGCCTTCTACATTTTTTTATGGCAGGGTATTATGCGAAATACTGCCACAATGGTGCTGAAATATTTGCACAACTCCGGAACGTAGGTGTCTGCGGAAGGGTACGAACGCGCTGTTACCCTTTCCGGGGCTAATGCGTGCACCACCACATCATGCGGGTCTTTCGTTTCGCCTGTCTCTCAGCTGGTTTCCTATCGGTCACTAACATCAGCAATCGCCCGTCAACGTTAGCACCGCAAAGGGTAATAAGAACGTTCGTTCCCCACCGCAGACACCGGGGGTCCGAAGTTTTGCAAATATCTCAGCACCATTGTGGTAGTATTTGCAAGAACGTTGATAAAAATATTATTGCTCTTATAACTTGCATCACCTGAATCAGCATCGAATGACCCTAGCTTTTTTTGATATACCCATATCGTGCGCTAAATTTATGCAGTGATCTCTATTTTCTAAACAGACCCGAAATCTATTGCAGATCAGAGCTCTCATTCTTACATTTGGTGAACACATATATTGCCTGAGTGTACAATAGATAGGGGTAGCAAATTGGGTTCTCCGAGACAATCAGTGCTTGTTTGTTGAAGAAGAAACCAAACCGTCTTCCATACACC